TACACTCTCGGGCTGACCAGACGTCGACTACATTGCTTTGTGAACTTTCGAGTGAAAAGGGATAATCGCAACACTTGAACAACACCTCACTAGAGAATCAACATAAGCCTGCATAAGTCATTTGTGAATATCTTTTCTGTCTCTTCGTTCACTTCCCATCTCTTACAGTTATTCCTTAACTGAAAATCTCTTTTTGTCCCATCCATAGTCAACTGTGCCAACTCAAATTGCAAATTTAAGCTACAATTTCACACTGGATATATAACACTTCGCATCTACTATCTGACATGAGTAACGAACGTTGGTGGCGCAGTCCTCCGAAATTCCTTAGTTTGGTATGTTGTAACCGTGAAGCATATAGCAAAGACAGCAGCGCGCTACTGTATCCCCAGTTGCTACATACAGTACTTGGCAACAGGAATTTGCCCCCCTTTCTCCAGAGAGCTGCATGTTGGTTAAGCTGGTAACATCTGACTTTGCTCGAGTCTGCAGTGTTACAAAAAGGACTCAAGTCAGCGATGTCAAAATGCCATTAAACAAGGGAGAAGATGGATGACTGTGTTCGGTCTGTCTAATTTGGTAGTGGATCAAAGTAACCGGACACAACCTGCTTGTGGTGTGTTTAAATGCGATGACCAACATTTCCCATCCCGTTAACAGAATAATTAGAATCACACAGTGATTTACGAGTAACACAATTGGTGCGGCGGTTCGCAGCTACTAAGTCTTCCCAGGAAACATCAACTCAGCCGCTCCGCTCGTACAGTAATCACGGAATCCCACAGCTGTCCTTATAGCCAAACCGCAACGATAACCAGAGTGTGGAATTTCGCTACCCTGCCCTTTTATTATCTTACCATCAACGGACCAGACAGCGGAATGAAGTTACCTCGTCAACTTCGTCTTCTACCACTGAAATCAGTAAGTCTTAATTACTGCGATTATTCGGACGTCTTCAATCTGGTACTTAGCGTGTCCGAATAAAACTCGCGTTCGAGAACTTGAGTCAAGTCGAAATGCCTCATTCTGGGTTTCGCAGTAACACACGCATTCACTGAAACGTGGATGTCTCAGAAGATCACGGTGATGAAGTGTATCAAGCTGACTACGCACTTGTTAGTTGCGATCGCTCCATTGGTCGACAGGCTGGAGGCGTCGCTCTTTACGACGCTGTAAACTTTACGTTTCGAAAACAAAACAGTTGAAGCTCTGTCGGCTCAAGTTACTGTAGTCATGGTGTAGAGAAACCCTGGGAGTGCATCTAAAGAGGTGCTTAGCTTTCTTCGCTCTCAGCAAACAGGTGTTTAGTGTTGGGCGACTTCAACCTCCCTGATGTTTGCTGGGCAGATCTTTCTTGCAACTCAACCTCAGGTACATTTGACGCAGAACTCCTTGTGCTTACACTACAAGCACCATCGCGTCAATTCGTGGACCTCCCCAGTAGATACATGGACGTCCAAGTACCGTCTATTTAAGACATTGTGTTTGCTAAGTCGCTCGATTTTGTTGGTGACATTGCTCACGAACCTCCACTGGGGGTTAGTGATCATGTTTGTTTACGCTTCAGTTGTGCTCTGTCTAGACGCTGTCAGAGTACTCCTGAGTCACGCTGAAATATATGGTGTGCAAACTATCAGCCACTGCGAGCCAAGGCTTCAGGTTTGCATTGTGAGATCTCAGGGGACAATACTGCCCATGTTACCTGGGATAGATTTAATTCCTTCCTCACAGTGATAACGGCTCTCTTCATCCCGGTAACGAGGAGAAAGGAGGCACGAGCATATCCTCACTGGACAGGTTCCACTGACAGGTACCTGCTCACAAAGTGGTCTAAATGTTGGCGGACTTACTTAGACGTTCCATCCACCGGTAACCTATGACAGGTACCATATAGCTAGAAATAGTGGTAAGCAACGCCTAGGGAATGCTCGGCTCAACTATGAGAACGGTCTAGCAGACGAAGCCCCAGGGAATCAAACAGTTCTTTGTATATGTCAAAAGACACTGTGGTTCGAACTCATCAATTCCAATGTTGATGCGTGATGACGGTAGTCATGGTTATATGGACTATGACAAGGCCTGCATATTTGGTGGGGAAAATGCAGCAGCGTTTGTAAGGGAAACCTTGTCGACTGGCATTGAGCTGGTTTCCAAAGTTTCAGAGGGTTCGTCCCTAGCGAAATTTATTACAGCGGAGACGGAAGTCCGTAGTTTGCTACAAGAGCTGAACCCTTCCAAGGCATCTGACCCTGATTTAATTCACCCGAAGCTGTTTAACCAATTGGCTGGGGAACTAAGTGGGCTGCTCGCTATCGTGTTTCAGAAATGGCTTGACAGCTGTGTATGATCTTCAGAATGGGAGGAAGTTGTCATCTGCGTCGTCTTCAAAAATGGCGACGGGAGTCTGCGTGCCAGCTAGTCTGACGAGTGTAGTAGTCAAACTCTTCAAGAAACTGCTGATAGATACATTGGAGGGTGATCTAAATAGATTTACTCTACTTCGCAATGCACAACACGGATTCCGGGATTTTCAGGTCTAACGAATCTACTGGTAGCTCGCGCAGGTTAGGCTGATGCAGCGGACAACGGCCATCCATTGAACGGGCTTTTCGTCGACTTTCGAAGGCATTTGACACGGTACCCCATTTGAAGCTTGCGTAAAAGCTAAGTTCTTACGGTATATCCGGTCGCGCCCTTCACTGGGTGACTGCATTCTTTGATGGTAGAGAACAGTGTGTACGCGTCGGCCGCGACCTATCATTCAGGCAATCTGTCCTCAGTGACGTACCGTAAGGCGCGGTCCTTGGACCGCTGCTGTTCTCTATCTATGTAAACGACCTACCCGCGGAGCTTGAGGTACCATCGCTATTATTTGCTGGTGACCAGAAGCTGAGGAATGCTTTCAATGTTACTAGGGGTCCTGAAGCTATTCAGCGTGCTTTGGATAGGCTTTGGGACTGGTATATTCTATGGCTACTGCCTATAAACCACGCAAAGTGCTCCATTCTTCGAATTGTTGGAGGTTGTCCTCCCTGGACGCACTTAGTCGGTGGGTCGAACTCCCCTTTGTATCCAGCCAGGTTGATCTAGGCGTCGTACACGCTTTGACTTTACACTCGGTCGGCAACTGGAAGAAGGCTGAAAGCAGAGGGTTCCGTATGTTATGGTTAATGCCCCATTCCTTCGGAATATTGTCGGGCGACATCTTTGTAAGACTGTTCTCAGCTTTCGTTCGGCGTCGTCTGGAATACTGTGTCCAGGATCGGCCGCCCTGCCCGTCTGGGACAAAATGGAGCTAGAGAGAGTTTTACGGGTGGGTACTAGGTTGGTTGAGGGATTACGAAGGCAGACGGATCCTGAGCGTCTACTTATTTTGGGTATGACTTCAATGTATTGCCGAATGTTTAGAGGAGACCTGATCCTAACCTACAGTATCTTAATTGGGAAGGTTGTTCCAGATTTGTTTTGACTATTCAGTTCTGTTCTCCGTGGTCATTCCATGAAGCTGGACAAACCGCGGTCCGATAGGATTAGAGCGGAAATTCGGCTGTCATGTCGAGTTAGCGGGCGCTGGAACATGATTCTTGAAGTTGTTATCAGAAAATCTACGGTTAAGGGGTTTGAGCATCAACTTGACGCTCTTGGGTGGCAACACGGAACTTTTCCCTTTTCCTGACCAACACCGAGCCACATATGTTAATTTTCTTTTCTCTACTTTCCTCCATGCTTGGGTAGTATCCGTTTATTTCAAGTGAAATTCCTTGTTCCGTACCACAGATTTTTCTTCTTATCTTTTGCTTACTTCACTTGTCTGTCACAGCATGAATTGCTAGTACAGGTAACATGGGCAGTAATTGGTTGACCAGGGTGGGATACGGGTGTTCCGTTTTAGATGCATCAAGACCTCCGAGCACCTCATCAGTTCCTCGCTGAACGATCCGCTTAAGAAGGAACACGCACGAGATTCTCTTATCGTTCGTCTCATCTGAACTTGAACTTAAACCGTGAGTGGCACGGTCCGTCAGTCAAGCGAACCATTGATATCATAGGGCAGCTGAACTGGGTACCACGTGAGCGTGACATTCATTACTTATGACTGGCATGTCACCAAAAATAGTGTTCCACTGGACGAGACCACCTGCTCACTCTCATCCCCTTTGCGTCATTCTTGCTGCCTCAGCCGATGCTCTTCACTCACAAAGTTGGCTCAGGTTGCTTATTTACCTGTGACACCGGCCACAGCTGCATCGAGTACCGAAATGAGTGCGTGCAAGCATGATAACCGTAGGTGGTTTTCGTTTACGCACGGTATAACTGGCTGGCGCAACTAGTGAACATTTAAGCGGATATGGGGATAAACAAGACATTTAGAATGGGGAAGTTAAATGGGACGAACTCACTAAATTGCCGGCATGCGTCTGAAGATTGTCAAAGTGGTGTCGACTTTCATCTTCAAGACCATTCACATGAGCGAAGTTGACCTATTTACCTTTACGTCTAATCCGTCCAATAAACACATCGAAACGAAGCCCTCAGCCATAAGACAAAATCAATACCGTGGCGCAGCTGGCGTTTGTGTATTTTCTCGCCTTGGCAGATGGTCCGGCTACGGCAGCCAGACGATTAAGTACCAGAACATTGGATCAGCCTACGTTAGCGTATACCACATTTTCTAGAGGTTAAATTTAAAGTTTGTTTCGGGCCCATACAGATAAAACAATTGCAACCATGGGTTTGTGTGTGGTGCATATTGGGTCTGAACCTGGCATTGGTTTGATCTCACTCCGATGAAGTACCAGTCACTCATGAAGACAACTTGGTGCCGAAACGAGTCTACCTGTAGTGAGGCGAAAGCGATCCGTAGAATTCTGCCAGATGCGTATTATCTAATACACTTAGCCCACTGTATATCACTAGAAAACATGCCGAACTTGATTGCAAACATTTATGGCATTTCCGGGACACTGATCTCTATCACTTGCTTAATCCTCCTTCTACAGATGATCGCACGCGACCCGGACAGCACTGCGCGGCTGGTGTACTCCATGGGCTCCACCACGGAGGCCACAGTGATGCAGTCCACGTTCAGCATTGAGTCAAACGGAGCTGTACGATTGCGCAGCTTCCTTGACTATGAACTGCGCCACACGTACATCGTTCCCGTCAAGGTCAGCGATGGCGAATTCACAACCCAAGCCCAGTTGTTTGTGCACGTGTTGGATGTTAACGACGAGGCACCTGAGTTTGAAGTCAACCCGAAGCAACTGATTGTGGAAGAGAATGCTTCGGCCGGCAAGCTTATTGGCCGAGTGAGTTCACTTTTCCATGCTGAGCCACTTCAGTAAAATTCATAGGTTCTCAGTCATAATGGCAGCAAAACTGGATTTCTTCAAGCAACTTTCAGACAAACAGACATGTCATTGTTGTGCATAGAACAGATAAAATTATTACTTGGGTGGAGCGAAAGTTCGAGAACGGCGAGCTTACTGTCTGCATATTGCACTACTCTGTCCACCTGAGTTAGGGCTTGACCAACTCTAACGAGCGCATCGTCTAAAGTTGCAACCGCTAACAGGGAAAGCACAAAGTAAAGTGTCAATATTATAATCAAGCCTGGCAACAAAATGTCGCCTGTCTTAACGTAAGGCTGTTCCCATGATTTTTCTGCAGAAATATGATGCAAAGATCGTGTTGCCAATAGTGTTGCAGTGTTTATCCTTCATGAGCAATGTTACAGACAAAGCAACAGAGGTTTTTAACTTTCGAAGGGGCATACCGTATAGTGGGCTCCATGTCTTCTAAACTAGCACCATTCCAAATCCCATCATCCAAGATCATTCGCGGGGGGCACGTTACATCACTGAGCAAGCGCGATCTTTTCCTCCACAAAATTGCCGTTTGTCAATGACGCGAGACGGAGCATATGAAATTCACCGATCACGACTGGTTTTCTGCTACACATTTACTTGGCTTGTCCATGGTGATCCCATCCTGTTAGCACAAGGACCACCAACGATTTCCGCTTTGCTTGATAGTTAGAAGCAATTTACGTTCGAATGTCTTAACGAATGCTTCGGTTATTTGCCCGAAGGTAGTGAGTGGCTGGATAAGAGACTGCTTGGTGTAAATACCTTAGCTCACAAGAGCCAACGTAATACCTGTTACCTTTAATCCATTGCTTGCTGGCGATTTTAGGGACACCTTTTTAATGTAATTTAAAGTACTGAATTAACGTAGTATGTATTAGTTTTTTGACCGGACTTTCAGAAAAGACTCTAATCTACGATATTAAACTCATTTGCGCCAATCCAGGTTTATTTTAATCAAATCAATGCATGAAACACATTTTAGGTATTTAAAAAACAGATGCTAGCAGAAATTGGGTTAAATTACGATAGTGTGACTGATTGCCATAACCGACAAAGCAGTACCCTGCTAGATGAAAAAGCCGAGATTTATACAAAGATCACCTGCGACAAGAACGTTTTCTCGCGTGCGAATTCTTTACTAAATTGAAGTAGTTTGTTTATTCGACTGCTTTCGAGGCGGTAGCAACGACATAACTTCATTACAATAGCCATACATAGTTGCACCCATCCAGGGAACCTTACATTTTTCTGAGTATGTCAATGAAGCCGCATATAATAATACGAGAGTGTGACCTCTCACGTCCTCCGCATTATTAATGTCCAGCCCGCAGTATACTGACTTCCGAACAGGTAAACCATTGGTACTTGACGGGTTAGAGAAAAATGCAAACAGCTCATTTCAGTAATCTGTAGCAGATGGGCAGACCCTATTTTTTCGACTTCGTAACTCTCCTCTCTCTCTCAGGTTCGCATTCGAGACTCGGATAGCAATGCGGTTAACGGCAAAGTACATTGCTGGGAGCCAGTCGAACTGCGTCGCCGACAGGTGGTTGCATTTGTACCAGACCCTAGTACCGCTCCATTCTCACCGTTGTACGACCTCACAACACGCATGGTTTTGGACAGAGAGGCAATTCCGGAGCCTAATGAAGGGCGGCTACTCGTCTACCTTGTCTGCGCTGATGGCAACGAGCCAATAGACGGGAGTCTGCTGGCGACCACGAGACATACGGCCACCATGACAGTCACATTGACGGTGAAGGACGACAATGATCACTCCCCGGTATTCTTACAGATGGTGTATCATGCGACGATTTACGAAAACAATCAGCTGGACGAAAAAATTATCCAAGTATGTTTCATGTTCAAACGGCACATTGAGTGACTTTCAGTCGGTCCGAGCCTTGCTGACATCCCCTGCTATTCTTAACGTATCCTTGAGGTGATATAGGTTTAACGAACACCAAGTAATATAATGTAAGTTCAAACGGCTAAGCTATAACGGTAATCACAGAATGCATTCAGCTCTAATGTGCATAGATGGGCATGAAACCAACACGGTTGCACTTTGCCCGGTATAGGTTGGGTGTGGTTGTATGTTAAGTAGGCTTAGACACGTAAAAGAACACAACTGTTATGGGTACACATGATCAAGTCGCTTGGTTTGGTTGCAAACACTTCTATTCACACACTAGCCACGTGTATCGCCTGGCATCGCCTGGCATCGCCTGGATCGTGCGAACCAATCACAACAGCGTACAGCCAACCTTGTGTTATTGCCAACTCTGTACCGCAAATAACAGTTGCATGCCAGTTAGCAGTGCTCGCCCAGACTAGATCTGTGTCTCTGTAAACAGTTGACACTCGCATGGTCAAACAGACAATCCCAGTAAATGTAGCATGTCCCCTATTATACAAGTATGGAACATTAACTGACTCACTTGAAGACACGATTGATTGTTCATTCCGATTCCGATGTGGCAACATATTGCTACCCTGCTGAGACAGGTTTACGCAGCTGAGTCGGAGACTGTGTTCATCACCAGCCTCAACCTCGGCTCTGAAACCAACTGGTAGCCTATGAGTGAAATTGTGTCTATTTCAGGATGAAGCGAAAGATCTGAATCTAGTATGTGTAGGTTACCACCTCGTGCGAATAGAGTTGTAGTTGTTGCGTGACAGGACTCCTGCAACTGCTTTCTCACGAATGGCATCTTGAAATGGATTGTTTGCTAGGCTCATACATGCTTGTTACCTCGGGGTGGCGTTGTTCTGGCAGACTGACATAAATAACATGAGATTCTCTGGTTTGCGGTCGTATGCTCAGCTGCGGAAGACTAACTGTGCCGAGGCTAAAGCAGTTTCTCGGGCCTACACCTCAATCAGTTGTTTCCATGTCTCTGGCACGCTGCTAGCGGTATGATCACAGCTTTGACAATTAATCCGTTGAGAGTTGCGTCTCCATTGAAAGCAATGACCACCTAGTAGGTTTGTTGATGGTTCAAGGCAGTCTATCTTTGTCTAGCATTGTGAACGCACGGTTAAACCGTTTTAATCCAACTGCACAACCGGTTAACAGTACACTATATTTTGTCCTAGGTCAACGCCACCGACGCGGATGAGGGAGAAAACGCCCGAATCACCTATTCCCTTCTGGACATGGCAAACTTCAAAGCGGACCCCATAACCGGTTGGATCATGGCGAACGTGATTTTTGACCGTGAGATGCGTAACTCCTACCAGGTAGGTAACACTCATCCATAAACCCATCGGATTAGTTGCTCACGGTCCACTTTCAACAAGTGCTTTTATAAAACAATGTGGAAGAATCTGGCTTCATGCAATATGCCTAGGATTATAATAATCCACCTAGAAGAGTCAGAATCTGGTGTACAACAAGATTAACGGATCCATGATTTTAATGGGTAAAAATCCTATGCTTAGAGAACTCCGCAGCATGGTGGGATTGGGAATTATAAAAGCAAAAATGCACATAACAGTGACATAAAACGTGCGTCTTAGAGGCAACAGCACAGCGGCATCTTAGAAACAGGATTGTGGGAGTTGGATAGCGCCATACAAAACAGCGCAACAGGTTACCTGTATTGCAGAAATGCATGGTTCACCCACCAGCGCCGATTTTCGTGCATCTGTGTGGGACGCAATCCCAGATAAGCTAATTGGCAATGACGTGTCCCGGAGTCCTGTATCTACATAGAATAGTACACGCAGCTGTTTACTACGTCCAAATGTTTATTAAAGCTAGCTAAGGTATAGGACGAATTAACCGCGTCTTTCTGAAAGTTCGAAGGCTGGAAGATGCGAAGAGAATAATGTTATCGATGACCATATTTTGCGTTGAGGTTCAAGTAAGTCAGGCTCCAAAAAGTTGCGGCACACATGACTGGGATAGCTCAGTACTCGTTATGTCCTTATCAGTATCAAATGGACTCAAAAGCCGTATCCCATCAATCATCCCCAGCCGCTTTATTTATCTGGCGATTCAAAAAGAAAAACTCCCTGCACCCCACTTGTGTTCACCCAGAACATTCCAACTATGGTAAACAGACATCGATCATTAAGGGCATGAAGATAGTGACTTTTGGCCAAAGCATCGCTTTTCGGTTCCGATTGGGACGGTGAATTAGGCAGGTGCACCATGTTGCCTCTGTTTACAATAGTCCACGTCCTGTAGACTCAAACCTCTTACCTGTACACTTTGTTTCGAAAGTATAGTAAATAGAAGTCAGACCAAAGTTTTTCCTGAATATCTGTTTCCCTTGGCCACTTAGGAAGAGAGAAATACCTTCTCAGTAACCATTAAGTTGTGGGAAATTGAAAAACATTAAGCTGTTCGTAATGTATGAATAAACTTAAACACCGCCGCCTAAAAACCACACACACGCTCTCCACAATGGTTGCTTCATAGTTCAATGTTCACCCGTTAGTTGTCGCTCGGGTCAATTCAAATCAAGAATTAAGTCTAACTAAAAATAGGTCTAAATAGCTACTCATTATACACGTTAATGTGCGGTAGTTGGCGTATTGCTAAATCAGTGATTAGTTAACACGAGGCAAATACACATATGAGCATGGGGCTACAACCAAACACTTTTCACCGTTAAACTCCGAGCGACTGTCACCGGAGAGTGAAGTTTCTGTTCACGTTTATCCTCCTGCCTTTCTTTATCAGGTCACAGTGTTCGCAAAGGATCAAGGGTCTCCCATCCGGTCCACCTCGGTCCTCTTGCATGTGACTGTGTTGGATAGAAATGATCACCAACCACAACTGTTACCACACGAAGAGGAGTCCAGCGTTTATGATCTCAGTAAGCTTCAGACCGGAAGAGTAGGGAACGTGAATTTGTTTGCTGTTCTTGAGAACCTACCAATGAACACGCACATTGGAGATGTTTTGGCCAAGGATGAGGATGTTGGGTCCAATGCAGAGATGGAATTCATGCAAATAGACGACAAACACTACTCAGCAAGATTCCGCATCCTACGCAATGGATCTGTGCTTACAGCAGCGGAGCTGGACAGAGAGGAGAAGGTGAGACAGGTTGCGGAAACTGATGGTCTGCATAAACATTCGGAAAATGAAGTGCTACGCACTGACAAGCTCCACATAGTCCTTAGTTAGCCATCGTTGGCAATAAAGTGTTCTAGCTTGCGTGTTACCCGGTAGTTAACGCTATCCGTTTCTAGACTTACCCATCAAAGTGTCTCAGCAAGTCTATAGGCACCTGGGTCACATCATCCACAGCTCTACTCACATGCCTGGAACACAGTAAAAGCCCTAAATAATGACTGGAACTCTAAGGTGGACTATGGTAAATTCAGGGTTGATCTGCACCCATTCGGGACAGTAGCACTGTAGTATGATATGGGGATGGGACATGCCAAGAGATTGGTATTTACACCCAAGTGCACTGGACCTGGCACGATCGTAAAGGTATGCGCCTTATCTACTCCTGGAACCATTAAACCAACTGGGCCTATTAGGAGAGTAGTAGATGTGTAGTGTGCAATTGTACCTAACATTTTACTGGAGGATAGACTTCAGGCTTGCATGGACACACGCTTGCGCTTGCGAGTACGGTCCCATAGCGGACGGGAGGCATCACCTCCACATTGTTTCGTCTAGGATTGGAGTGGATGGGTGAATGGAACCTTAGGTAATAGGTTATAGCTGTACTGACATGTGTCCAGTTAACCAGTCTCGTCATTTCGATAGACACGCGTCGAAACCATACTGATGACTTAACCGGTCGGCCCAGTTGAAGCATACTTAATCACACTTACCGCAACGGCACGTAAATGATGTCTGGCCATCATCAACCCACATCTGCTGTTTCTACGTCAGCGACTTCTGCGTGCGAGGCACAGGTCATTTCCTCATCATTGGGTGGCGTCAGTCCTATTACTGTTGAGCTAATGCCATAGGTCGACCATCATTCCCTCCCAGTAGCTGAAGTTAAACGTAGTTGGAGAGTCACTTTGGTCGTGGACTTCCAGAAAGCCATCTGTTTGCAAGTTAACTTTTGCCTGTTATCACATAGCTGTACAGTGGATCCCCATATATTTTCTTCTCGTACATTTCACAAATACGTACAAGCCACTCTAGGTGTCGGAATGGTAACTTACAACCCAGTTCGAGTCCACTGCTCTTTCTAACCCCTTCATTGTCCAGCAGTGTGTTGCATCAACACATCCCACATTCCAGTTTGACGGAAGTCAACTAGCTGCTGACACAAAATCACACATGCAACCGGTTTGTTGACTAACAAAGCAACTAACAATGATACGTTTTGTATGAAGCTGTGCAGCGGAACGCAGGGTGAGGATTGTACAACAAAGAAAGCGCGAAAATGTATTCAGTTTCATATATTTAAACTATCGTGACTTCTGGGCGGGGGTTCTTTGGTACACATCGTGTAGAGTCCTCAAAATTGGGTGTTGTGGACAGCCGAAGGTGGAAACTGGAGTTCGCTTTCCAGAGGAATTTGAGGCTTTGGAGTTATGGAAATCCCTGGAGGATTGCGTAGACGTCGCGGATGATGTCGAGCCGGGGCAGCAGCGGGCGAATCTGGTTACTCTGAGCACATTCCTCAAAGTCAGGGTGAATGCGTTTCTGGGGGCAGAGCCTAGGGGCCTTGCCAAGTTGGAATAGGCCGCCGCGAAGGGGGCGCTGATTGCGGGGTTAAGCAGCCCGACCAACCACCAGGATGCGATTCGGTAGTTCAAGGCGGTTCGGCTTGGATTGGAACAGGAGCCGTTTGTCTTTGCTGTCCACCTGTGAGTTGCTGGACCGGACGCTGTTTATTTTGAACGACGCGTCAGGACAGCAGCTGTTAGTGAAGCAGTTTTGAACGGTCTGCCTCCGACGATGATCAATCGACTTCGGATTGCGGACACCGCCCAGTAAACGGGCGTGACGGAGCTCGCTCGATTGACAAGGGAGTTTGAACATGAGGCATTCGATAGATTGGGAATGGAAGACCAAACAGAGGAGATCCGACTGAATAGACTAGAGGAGAGGTTAGAGCAGTTTACACAAATTGGCGGGGCACTACGAATTTCCTGTTCGAAGCCAGGGCCGAAAGGACGATGCTTCATATGTGGGAAGATGGGACAATGGTAGCGGCAACGTCCACCAAGGTGCAGTACAGCCTTTTTACTAAATGAAGCGATAAGCCGTATTGTTCTCCTATTGTGCAGTGCATACTTGGGACACTGAACATACATGCGGTTGAAACAATTGTATAGATGAATTGGAACAGAGAGAGCAGTTTGATACAGGAGTCGCGGTTTCTCTAATCAATCACGGAGATGGGGTGCAAACAGCCATGTTCCGTAGTGGTGAAGGCACTCGGTGGTTACGATATACGCATAGATGTTATGGCGGAGCATGTGATTGGCATCAGCGGTCGGAAATTCAACCAACACTTAGTTGTGTCATCGGACGCAAAACAGCCAACCCTGGGGCTGACGTTCTTCAAGTCAGTGAGGCCATCGTCGAGCTGAAACGAAAAAAGCTAACGACAAAACACGGGGATATACCGCTTGCTGGTAGAGAAGGATCCACACGGATGTGCTCAATGGTGACAGTTTTACACATAAGTCTGGCCATGCAATCGCTTGTCTGGACATATGATCCCCTGGTCACGGGAGATGGTAGCCCTTACGGATTTTGTAATTGGATCGAACCCACAATACCGCTATCGCATCTGACGTATCGGCCCTGTGGACCCAGAATACCAAGGAATCTGGAGGATGAGATAAGAAGGTAGGTGTAAGAGATGTTGAGCACAAGTGTAAGCGAAGATGCGCACAGCCCTATAATTCCCTACTCATTTTAATGAAGAGGGATAACGGGAAGTGCTGCTTTGGTGTGAACTTCTGAAGCTTGAACCAAATCTCGCTGAGTCATTTCCTCCCCGTGCATCCAGTCTCAGACATTTTCAACAGACAGCAGAAGTCAAGGATACTCCCGGTACTGGACCTGATTTCTGGCTACTTGCAGCTGGCGACCAAACAAGAGGACCGAGAGAAGAGTGTTTACGGTCGGCGATAAACTTTCCAAATTAAAAGGACATCGTTTTGATTGTCTGGTCCCCTAATTACCTTCCGGCATTTGATGTTGCGCCTGCTGCATGGATTAGAGAATGTGGTCATGTCTGGAGAAGACATCGTGGTATATAGTGAGTCGAAGACAGAACACTACTGTCATCTGAGAGCAAAGTTGCAAAAATGCATCATTCGGAATTGCAGCTAAATGGACCTACATCTCAAATGGAGAAAATATCCCTCACACTGCTGGGTCACGGTGTGGGTCGGGATGAGCTCAAGCCTCTGTTGGAGAAAATATTGGCAATTCGAGGCACCCGATTTCTGACCTCGAAAGGCAGCCTCAGAACATTTTTGGGCAGTGCCGTATACAACTGTAAATGCGTCCAAATTTTAACAACTTGGCTTTACCCGTGTATGAGCTGCTAGGAGAGGAAAAGAAATTCACTTAGACAGCAGAAGCTGGGCAAGCGCTTGATGACATTCAGAGAGAGATGGAGAGACAGGAATTTACCTTGAAAGTGTCGATGTCCAAAGAAACGTTCACCGTGGCTACAGACGAAAGCAACGTCAGAATGGGCGCGGTGTTGCAGCAAACGCAGGGGACAATTGAATACGATAGAGGATTTTTCACACCATCGGAACATGGGTATTCGACAGTGGAGAAGTAATGTCTGACAGTTGTTTGGGCACTGGACAATTGGCGGCCGTGGTTGCTTAGTCAAATGTTTCACGTCGAAACAGGTCATAAAACGCTGGAATGGATTAGGTGCTCCAAAGACAAGGGATATTCAAGAGATGGGCGTTGCGTCTACAAGAATGCGAGTTCACGATAAATCAGATAGCATGGGCAGGCAATGGAACGACGGATAATTTATCCAGCATGACGGATGAGGACGTTTCGCTGAACCTTGCCTTTGGTGTCAGTGGTTTAATGCTTGAGCATGATCCGGGAAAGTTGGCGGCTAAACAACGGAAGTAAAGGCTGCTGAAGAGGATATTAAGAGCCGGAATAGTGAATCAAACTGCGGCATCCAAAAATCAAGGCCAGTAATTCAGGCTTTCAGCGCGAAGTCTGGAAAAGCTGCACATCAACAAGGCTGGAATTCAGATTCAGTCACATTGAGGAGATGCCACCTGGTGCCGGCGATTCCGCCGAAACTAAGGAGACATGTGGTGCTCACGTGAAGGCTCATACCGGGTGCACAAGGACGTAGGATTTGCTTAGACGGCGAGCTTACTGGTTTGGTATAAAAATGACGTCCAGACATAGGTGCTCCAGTGTCAGCAGTGTCAGCTCTTGAAGGGAGGCAACCATGGAACGCCCCAACCTATGTTCTCGACTTAGTTATCGGTTATTAATGAGTTGTGATCATTGGACTTGGAGGGCCGTTTCCGTTAACAAAATGGGGCCATCAATATATAGTCGTGATGACACTAGATGGACTGAAGCCGCGGAAATTCCGGATTAGCGGACTGGCAGGAGAACACCTGCGGCGATGCGACACGTGATAGCAAGCCATTGGTTTCCGGGGGGCAAACAGTCAGATTAAGGCCTTTGCTTTGAAAGTAAGGAACTCCGGACATGTTTGGAGAAACTGGGCATGAAGATGCTACAAAATACTCCCTGCTATTCCCAAATGAACGGATTGACAGAGAGGAATTACAGGACGATTAAAAAATAGCTGGTGACGAAAAGAAGAGCATGGGAAGTAGCCTTGCCATTACTCTCGCTAGCTCACCGGGCGCCAAAGCATGCACCAAAAGATCCCTATTCCAGTAAATCTACGGTCGCGGACCTTGCCTGCCTGAGGATTTGGAGGTTTGAGTCTAGCCGACCTGTCAGTTACTACTAAGGGAGGTGCAGAACAACAGATGGGTAGCAAACAGTAATCGGAGGGCAGCTCAGGACAGGATGATGGAAAAATCCCGATCGATGTTGAGAAAACCATGTGGAGACTATCGAATCGGTTCAAATTTGGTGTACAGATATCACCAACGTGTAACCACATGTGACTCGGAGGAGAGGAAATTACTGCCGATGTTTAATGGGCCGTAGGAAGTAATCGGTCA